CAAGCCAGTATCTGCATCCCTGGGCCAGTAGGAGCCACCCTCCTCTGCACAGGAAGTGTGAAGACAATTAGATGACTCACTGACCCGGGAAACCACCAAGTCTTGATAAGCCGCATTTTGAGTACTGGTCACAGGCCCTGAGATGAGAGGATGCCACCAGGCTTTCCACCAAAAGGACACCTTTCAACAATGGGCAATGGAAGCTCCCTTGTTGGGCCATGTTAGATAAGCCTATGGAGAGAAAGAGGCTGTATGGAAAGAGCCTGCATGCTAAGACAGGCCAGGGTCAGACTTGGCTTTGGGCTTGAAACAGTGAAATGACCCCTAGATTCATGAGGTGGGCAAGGTCCTGATCACAACCCCATCTGCAAGGTGGGGAGGGGGAAGAGCATCCTGAGCTAGCTGGATGTCCCAAAGACCAAGGACTAATCTAAAGCTATGAACAGTAGAATAACTTTCACAACACATTCAGGGTTTCAAGGACCTTGGAGGCTTGGGAGTAATAATAGGGGCCCATGAGCCAGGGTGGCCAGGCAGTCCTTTCCATCTTCTAGCTCATTGCCAAGGTCTCATGGGTTGCTGATTCATCCAGTCTTACATCTGTGACAACCCCCTGGACACTGTCACTGAGAAGGCAGTGAAGACTGAGTATTGCACCTTCAGCATAAGCTCTGGAAACAGTCTCCTACTAAAGACCACTCCTGATGCCCCTTCTAGCTCCTCAAGGGTACAGTTTCCCTATAGAAATGCTGATGACATCAGCTAGACATCTCCATGACTGCTTAGGGGCCATGCTCCATGCACCCGGGTTCCCTGCTGTGGAATAGTTGAGTGTGTGAGCGTCATCAGCTCAGGACACTGTGGCAAAGCACCAGCCAGGGTGCAGTCACAAGGCTGGCTCTTCCTGAGGCTTCTTTCCTTGGCTTACAGTGTCCTCGTGTGGTCATACTGTGTGTCCATGTCCTGAACTCCTCTTAATCCATAGCCAATTAGATTAGGCCCCACCCTAATGATCTCATTGTGACTTAATCATCTTTTTAAATACCATGTCTTCAGAGGATGAATAAATGGCTCAATGGTTAAAAGCACTTGTTCTTGCAGAGGATCAGGGGTTCAGTTCCATCACACACATGGTGGCTCACAACCGTCTGTAACTCTAGTTCTTGTTGTAGAAAATTAATTTAAGATGGGATACATTTGTTAATGCTGTGGAACATTTGTTTAATGATGCAAAGATGTGTTGCATTCCTTCATGTTGCATTTGTTTAACTCTGTGAAGCTGTGTTACTTTGCCTGTTTAAAACACCCGACTGGTCTGATAAAGAGCTGAACAGCCAATAGCAAGGCAGGAGAAAGGACAGGCGGGGCTGGCAGGCAGAGAGAATAAATAGGAGAAAAAGAGGGCTAGAGAAGGAGAGACCAAGGAGTGAAAAAAAAGGGGGCCAGCCAATGAGTAAGCATGAAAGGAAGATTACAGAAGCAAGGAAAGGAAAAAAGCCCAGAGGCAAAAGGTAGATGGGATAATTTAAGTTGAGAAAAACATGGTAAAAAATAAGCCAAGCTATGGCTGGGCATTTATAAATAACTGTGTGTATTTATTTGGGAGTTGGGTGGCAGGCCCCCAAACAATAAGAATAAAAAAACGGACAACAACAAGTTCTGGGCATCCAATGTCCTCTTCTGACTTCTTAGGGCACCAGGTACACAAACATACACCAGTGCACATACATACACAGGCAAAACACTCATTCATATAAAATAAAAAATAAATAAATCCCAAAGAAAAGGACTCTCTTTCTAAGCAGTCACTCAGAGGTGTTAGAAGCTAAGGCTTCGATGCATGGCTTTTCCACAGTACACACGATTCAGCCAAACACGGACAAGAGCCAAAGCAGAGAAAGGGTTTGGGGTCTCAGGACAAACCTGGCTCCTCTCCAGGGCTCAGAAAGAGGGTGGCTGCTAGTGTGACTGACAGAATCCTGCAGACTGGGTCTGACTGCACACCATTCCTTCTGCACATTCTGTGGTTCTCTCCATGGTCTGCCAGCACTGGGAAGTTTTCAGAGCCCATTCCCTTCACACAGGTCCTACGCAGCTCTGGTTTCTGACCACTGATGTTAGACTCAGTCTACATAGCCCAGGCCGTGGAGGAGTTGTCACAGGGGCAGAAGAACCAGAGTGACAAGACCTGGTCAAGCAGAGAAAAAAAGCAAGTAACTCGAGACCATGTGGCCTCAGGATCCCCTGCTGGTGGCCCTGTACACACTCTCTGGCTCCCCCTGCTGGTGGCCCAGTACACATTCTCTGGTGCCCCAGTTGTTTTTATGATGAGTGACTTTAAACATTAAGGACAAAGGACAGCAAGAGCAACCCCACGACCCCTCAAGTTAGCATGTAGCAAGTTTTGCTTTCAAATGTCCTTCCCCGAGGGAATACGACAGTACAGTCAGAGTTGCCCCCCTCAATCCCTTCACAGTTATAACCATAATCCTGAATCTAGTGCTTCTCAAGTGTTTATCACATTCATTTGTTTCCTTGTTTATGGGGGGGGGGAGTGCATGTGTGCCACAACACACGTGTCAAGGTCAGAGGACAACTCCTGGAAATCAGTCCTCTACTTCCCCTGTGTGATTGAACTCAGGTTTACAGGCTTGGTGGCATGTTGTGTTTAACCCCAAATGGTCTTACCAGACCTCAAATGTTTTGTTTATTGCATTTGCAAATATTCAAGTAATATGTATTGGTTTGCATTTGTAGAAACTCATAGACACCAGCAACCTTGGAGAGATGGCTCAGTCAGTAAGGTACTAGTAGATAAAGCATGAAAATCTATATTTAATCCCCAGAAAACATGTGCACACAGCTGGAGAGGAAGAGACAGGAGATCCCTGCAGCTTGCTGGTCAGCTAGCCCAGCCTAATCAGTACTCCCCAAGTTCAGCAGAGACTCTGTCTCCAAAACAAGGTGAACGGCACCTAAAGAATGGCACCCAATGACAGTTGCGTAACTAGGTCTGTTTGGGGAGCCCTTGGCAGTGGAACCAGGACTTATCCCAGGTGCATGAAATGGCTTTTTGGAGCACATTCCCTAGGGGGAAGGGGCTTGGTCCTGCCTCAACTTAGTATGCCAGACTTAGCTGACTTCCCGCAGGAGGCCTTACCCTCTCTGAGGAGTGGATGGTGGGTAGAATAGGGGGAGGGGGAGGATGGGGAAAAGGGAGAGAAAGGGGGAACTGGGATTGGTATGTAAAATGAAAAAAAAACTTTTTAAAAATAAATTTAGAAAAAAGAATGGTACCCAAGGTTGACCACTGCCCTCTAAGTGCACCAACATACGTGTGTGCACACACATACACACAACACAAACACATACATATAACTGCCTGTAACTCCAGCTCCAGGAGATTCAATACTCCCTTCTAGTCTCTATGTGAAAACACACACACACACACATACACACACACACACACACACACACACACACACACACACACACACACACACACACACACACACACACACACACTTCCCAAAGGGGGACCATTTGCATTTTCTCTTGCATCCATCCAAGAGTCATCACTGGACAGCCACCAAGTGTCTCTGGCTCCCCCAGCTGCTCAATGGTAGTATTACAATCCCAGCATCCAAAGTATTTGCTGAGCTGGACCTGAAGGATGGATTCTGGGAAGATTCCTGAGCTGGCTTTAGCCACCACAACAGAAGAGACGTTGGAGATGAGAGGTGCCCTGTCCCCTCAGGTTCTAGGCAGCTGAGGCGTGCAGTAGGATGCCAGCCAAGCAGCAAGCAGGAAACATGAGGGAAACAACCTCATGCTGAGGTTGTAAGCCTCTGACACTTGGCAGTTTTTGTCATTGCTGCAGACAGAGTCCATCCTGACTAACAGGCGTTAGAAAGTTTTCTTTTAAATATTAATCTTTAGATTTTGAGATTAAACCTTATTCATGATTATGGAGACTCTGGGTAAGAGAGAGGGCTTCATACACAGTGTGCGCATACACACACACACACACACACACACACACACACACACACACACACCATGTTTGAACCAATACAAGAGCAAGCTAAGGGAATTGACATGTTTTCAAAGGACCACACAAGCATATGCTGGTAGGTCCATGGGGTTTGACAGCTCTGCCCAGCAGTCTTTGAGGAGACTTGTTATAGTTGGTGTATGGAGTATTCCCACCCCTACCCCCGAAAAAGAGGCTCACAGATTCCAAGGTAAGAGTGTTATTTGGGGAGACTCAATGGAGGGTGAGACCTGGCTAACAGTGACAATGGGGCTGAGTCCTTGCAGGATATTGCCCCTGGCCTTTTCCAGACCTGTTCAGTCAGGTTCTGGCCAACCATGCTGTGAACAGCTTGTCTCTGCCACATGTTGCTGCTGCTTTGCTGTTCTTTTTAAATGCATGGGGTCAAGCAATCTTGGGCTGATCCCTCAAAATCCTGAGCAAATAAACCTTCCTTCCTTGAGACTGCTTCTAGTTGGGTATATTTATCACAGTGACGCAGACCTAAACAATACAGCCCACAAAGTTACCATTGTTTTTCTTTCAGTTGCGGCAGAAGCCAGTGCCCTGCCCCCCAGTATGTGGCCCAAGGCCTCTTCAGTGACACACACACATACTCCATAGGCACAAACACATGGAAATACACTTATGTGCATGCACACCTGTGCACTCACACCTGAACACACACTGTCCCCAGAGCATGTGGACAAAAGTCTCACTCATAGCGGGGAAACCCTGGAAAGGAACATACGGGGCTTTGCTCAGCCAGTGCTCTGAACAGACAGAGCCCAGAGCCCAAGGGAAAGCAATACAGGGGGCAGGGTCACATTGTGCCTGGTGTGCAAAAACCAGTAACTGGACCCCAGGGGTCCCTGAGGAACCCTCTCCAAACCATCAAGCCCCGCCCAATTCCCAGAAGCCATCCACACGGTGGCCAGCAGAACCAACTTACACCACACGACCAGAGTGGCTATGCCTGAGTTTATTGTCAGAAAGCAAAGAATGGAACAGAAACTCTGAAAATAAATATCTGCAGAGAAGAAGCCAAGCTAGAAGTGGAGGAAGCTCAGAGAGTCAGCAGGATGGCACAGGATGGGAAGGGATGTGTACAGTAGAACCCATTCACTTCCTTCCCAGAAATCGGGGACTGGAACGCCGGACTCGCTGCGGGAGCCCACAGACGGTGTCCTGGCACAGACAGCTCTCAATGTGTGTGTAGGTATGGCTCAGCTCACTGCCGTCTGGACATTCCAGGGTCACCTGGCGCTGGCTGGTCCTTTCTTCCTTGCAGCAAGAACATTTGTGATCCAGATCCTGGAAATGGGTGGAGTACCTGGGGACATGAAGGGCAGAATGAGTGCCAGCTCCCTGGGAACAGCATCAGCAGCCTCCCTCACTGGCTCCCTAGTCCTGCTCCTGCAGTCCAGTCAGCTTTAGCCCCCGCCCCGAGCTGAGCCCTAACCTATGTCACCCCTTCCTTCTGAGCCTGTGCCTGGCTATTCCAGCTCCTCCCAGAATCCCACACTCTTGGTGGAAAGCTGCTTCTGTCCTTGAGCTCCTCCGCCCCTCCACCTCCCGCTTGCAGCCTGGGACTCACATGGCGAAGGTCCCGCAGGAGCCGGAACAGTAGTTCATGGAGACGTTCTTGGTGCAGCCATTATGAGAAATCTCCTTCATGACAGGGGTGGTGGAGCAAGGGGCTGCAGTGTGGTTTTTAGGGATGCCTGTGGAAGGAGATGCGAGTGTAGGGGAGGTCAGGGCTCTCTCTCTCTCTCCCTCCCTCCTTCCCCCCTCCTCCCTCCCTCCTCTTCCTCCTCGTCTTCCCCCTCTCTCCTTCCCTCCCCCTCTCCCCCTATTGTACTGTTTCCTCTCCTTTTTCCAAGCATGCCTAGTCCTTAACTCCCAGTCTCACTGCTCTTTCAGGAAATGAGCTCCAGCTTGCAGCCGGGTTCCACCCAGCCCCTTCCTGGAAGGGGACTCACATCCTTATACATCCACACAAGCGAAGGAGACACAGCAGGAACAGGAGTCCTGAAGCGCTCTGCCCTTGCGTCTTCCTGCCCAAGGTTCTGGCGAAGCCCGCCCACCCCCCCTACCCATCTCCAGCTGTACTCACATGTCTGACAGCAGCCGTTAGGCATGTACGTGATGGAACCCTGAAGGGAAAGAGGAATGAGGAGGAAGCCCAGAGCACCCCCAGCAGGTGAGTGGGGTGCATGAGAGCTGTCCTATAGGAGGGTATGGAACAAGCCTCCCGGAAACCAGGCAGCTGGTACATCAGGCAGAGCACACATGGCCAGTGCCATAGGGGTCCCACTCACCGGAACACAATCACTGGGGTTGAAGTCTGGGCAGGTGATGTTGGAGACAGAGGAGATGAGCTGGTTGTTGATTTTTATGCAGCTGAAGAAGGTACACTTGTCGTTGGGGTTTTTCTCTATGTCCCCAGGCTGTGGACACAACACAGTTAGAACGAGGTTAAGCGAGTGCCCCTCCAGAGGCCAGCCCAGGAAGATGTGGGGGGTACAGCTTCACAGACAGGAGGTTGGCCCTTAGGTCCAGAGTCACTGGGCAAGTGACACCCATAAGAGTCTTGGAGACAGGAACTTACCTGCTTGTGGTTGCAAAGCACAAAAATCTCTAACCTAGGTCTAGCCTGTGAACTAGGAAGTGACTCTGAACAGGGAAAGGGTCTTTGAAAATCTCAAGGAAAGAATCTGGAGATGAGGTCATCCTACGCCAAGATGGTCCTAACTCCAGGGATGAGCATCCTTGTAAGAGGAGACATAGGCTCAGATATAAGAGAGGTTGCTACATGGAGACCAAGTCGGAGATGATGCAAACACAACCAGTGTCGCCTAAAGTCCAAAGAAGAGGAGGCAGGAAGGACTCCTCACAGCTTCTGCCAGCCTTAATCCTGGACTTCAGAGCTCCAAAAGTGGAATAGCCATACATGTTGTTTTTAGCCACCCAAATATGGTCACTCATACCAAGCCATGTGGGACCCGGGATGACTCCAGGCCAGTGACTGACAAGCTCATGGGGGGAGCCTGGAGCACTGGTCATTGCCCGTGAACACACACCTTCAGGATGAGGTACTGCTGGTTGGGCCCCTCGATGATGCAGTGGGTCTGTTGGCACTTCCTGCAGCACTCCCCGGGGACCTCCACAAGTTCAAAGCCCTGTGGACACAGGAGAGGACAAGGTTGAGATCAAAGACTTGTCCCTGCAACCAAGCAGGTCCTGGGATCGCTGGAATACCTCACCTGCGGGGAGGCTACACATGGAACAAGTACTATGGTGGGAGGCACCATTTGGCAAGGAAGAGGTTTTAAAAAAAAAAAAATGAAGGCAAATCATGGAAATGAACATGGAACCGTGGCCTCTTAGAAGACAGGAAGAGGGTAAACTGAGGCAGGAAGAGGGAGAGAAGCAAGGAGCCGCACTTACGGAGCTGCAGGAGATGTTGCAGGGCACATGGGTACAGGAGATGATGTTGACCTGAGTGTCGTTGTCCATGGTGTCGGTGCATACACAGTCCTGGCACTTGGTGGAATGCACTGGAGATCCAGGCTGCAGGAGCAGGCAGAAGTAAGTAAGGGAGCCGCACACACCATCACCCATGCATACTCCATTGTCAGGAGACAGACAATGCCACCATCCTCCCTGTCCCCTCCCAGTTCAGAACTCACCTGGTATTCAGCGTTCTGGTGCACACACACACCCTTGGGTTCTTGGAAGAAAGAGTGGGAAAAGCCATCAGAGGCCATCCTGAGCCTCAGCCTCCCACACACATCTAAGTAGGCTTAGGTCTGGGTGGGTACACAGCCGAAGCCATGTTAAAGAAGCACAAGGAGAAAGCATGCTCCCTCCACTGACCCCTTGTTCACAGCCTGCCCTGCCTGTGGCCTTCTCTTGCCCGGCTGGCCTCACTTACCACAGGAGTAAACCGGACAGCACTTTCCAGGCACATGATGGCTCTTCGCTTCGAATCCCAGCAAGCATGAGGGGCGTTCTGCTTTGCACAATTTGGGGTCGCATTCTGAAGGCAGAGCAAGAGTGTGGTGACCAGGATGGATCACACCGGCAGAACACCACTTCCCACTGCATAGCATGGGTCCAGGCCCCTGTGGAGCCCACTAAGACCAGTACTGGAAGTACTTAGGAGCAGGAGCTCCTGGTCTGATCCAACAGCCGCTGCCACTGCCCTCTCAAGTGAGTGTAACCTGAGCTCACTGGTGAGGAAATGGCAGAAAGCCTCACCTACAGCAGGCAAGCTTGGTTACACTAGGAGCCCCAGCAGGACATGGCCCCAGGGGTCTGAGAACGGCTCCTGTGCCCCAGGGGTGTCCTTACTGCATGAAGTAATGTTGCAGCACTTGTCATCTGGGTTGACTTCCTCGACAAGGTAGGTGCCATCCTCCTCGCATGTGGTCTGGGTCTCCCCAGCACATTTCTTGGCCTGGCAGACAATGCCACTTCCACCCTCTAGGCAAACACACTCCTTGCAGTCAAACTCAAAGCGCTCTCCAAACTGCAAAGAGGAAAGATCACATTAACACCAGGCTAGCCCTACTATGGCACTTCCATGGCTAACCGGGGAGAAAAGAGCTAGAGCAGGTAGCCAGATGAGGGGTCAAGTGAGAAAGCCATATCCCCCACCATCTCTGAGCTCATAGGGAAGGTTTAGGGACAGGCCAGCACCTGTTCATTCAAGGTCACTGATATCACACAGATATGACTTACTTATCAGCACCCACCAACATCCTCCTAGTATGCAATGACACACCATACATATCTCACATTTAGTCAGAGTATATGACTGGTGAGTGGATGAGTGGATACATGAATGGATGGCCTGATGGATGAGTTGATGACTGGAAAGATAGAAGGATGGATGGATGATGGATTGGTGGTTGGTTGCATGGATGAATAGTATGTAGGTAGTTGGATGGGTAGATGGATGGATAGATGATAGATGAGTGGGTGCTTGGGTAAAGGATGAATGGGTGATGGGTAGGTTTTTAGATTGGTGGATAATGGATAGATGGATTAATGGGTGGATGATGGATAGATCGAGGGTGGGTAAGTAGATGAATGAATGAAAGATAGATAGATAGATGATAGATGGGTGGTTGGATGAATAGATAGCAGATGGGTAGATGGAGGATGAATGGTTCAGATGGATGGGTGATTGGATAGACTGATGAATGTGGAATAGGTAGGTGAATGATGAATGAATGAAGGAAGGAAGGAAGGAAGGAAGGAAGGAAGGAAGGAAGGAAGGGAGGAAGGAAGGAAGGAAGGAAGGATGAAGAAAGGATAAGCTAGTGAATATGGATAGGTGGATGATGGTTGGTTGATTGGATGGATGGATGGGTGGATGGATGGATGGATGGATGGATGGATGGATAACAAATGGGTGATAGATGGGATGAAAGATAGATAAATGATGAGTGGGTGATAACATGGATGGCTAATAGATGGATGTAAGATGGATAGTTTGGATAGATGAAAGGATCATGGATAGGTATTGGATAGATTGATGGGTGGTTGGACAGATAATGGATAGGTGAGTGGATAGATGGGTGGGTGGATAAATGGATGATAGCAGATGGTTAAATGGATGACAGACAGCTCAAGGTAATGGACTGATGGACAGATGGGTGAGTGAGTGAATCTCACCCAGGACTTACATGGGCTCATGACTCAGTCTTTGGACTCCCAAGCTGTCATATCACTTCACCCCACTCATTCCCCAGAGCTCAGGATTTTAGGGAGAATTACCCCAGCACAGGGGAGAACTTACCTCTCTGGGGACATAGTCAGGTCCCACACAGCCTAGGAAGAGAGAGGAGACAAACTCTGTTAACACTGTCATGGCATTATAGGGAACTGGGATGCACTTCCTGCCCCTGCCTCTGTAGACACAGAGGAAACAGGAGGGAGGCAGCAGAGGTAGGAGACATACCACAAGTCTTCACACAGACGTCATAGCCAGGGGCAAACTTGGTGGTGCCTTCAGGACAGAAGCAGCCTTCCACCAAGAGTGTGGAATTCTGGGAGGGGCTGGAATGGCAAGACACAGGCTCAGAAGGAAGGAGTGACAGGCTGCGGCTCAGCTCGGGGGCGGGGCTAAAGCTGACTGGACTGCAGGAGCAGGACTAGGGAACCAGCACGAGTCTTCAGGCGGCATACCTGGACTGGCAAGTGGGCTCTTCTGCAGGGCCACAGGCCTGGTACACCCTGTGAGATGGACACTCCACAGCTGCAGAGGGGTGCAAGATCAGGAAGGTCGTATCCAGAGAGGGAAGGTTGCCCCTCCCTGCAGTGACAGAGCTACCCAGCCCTTCCCACACAGGACCTCACCCCATGCCAGCAGAGGATGGGGAGCTGCCCAGTTCCCTTGCCGACCCACAGGTCCCCAGCACCGGGGAGCACATGGAGAGAGATGAGTGGTACTTACAGCAGGCCCCCTGGGTATGGTTCCGCCAGTCAATGCAGGCACCTTCCTTGGCACAGAGGGCTGCGTAGGCCTGTACACTGGCACACTCCATACCAGAGCCAGGCACAAAGCAGCTATCAAACAGGCAGGCTTCATAGTAGTGCTTGGGAGGCACGAAAGGATGGCACTCGGAAAACAGGCTACGCAGGGAGAGAGGGGTCACACCTAGTCAGCACCCCCCGGCCTCTTCACATGCTTCCCGGGCCTCCCTTCCCTACTGGAGCCTGCTCAGAGGCACCCGCCAAAGAGGCACGATGGCTACAGCAACAGAAGACAGAAAGTTCTGGCTTCTAGAAAAGGAAGGACAGGTGCCTGTGCCATCAGGCGTATAGAGACGTACTCTGCACACCTGAATGGTCCCTGGTTGTCAGGATGTCCCCTTCCAACAATCCTGGCGGAGAATCACCTAGCTTTGACTTCAAACACCTCCCAGGGACAGGGAATGTCCTCCTGTGGCTGCCAGATTTAGGGGTTCCTGACCTGTGTCCAAGCTCACACCTGCCCCCCTGATATGCTCATGTCCTCTGGTCAGCTGATCTGCCCAGGGTCTCCAGCTCCCCTGAGCCTGCAGCTGGCCATGAGGTGAGAGATGTCTGAGAGCAAAGAAAAGTGCTGGGGTGCGGGATGTCAGAGAAGATAGCTAGGTCCTGGGAAAACAGAAGCCAAGTCCTGGGGCCCCCTGTGACCCAACACCCATCCACAGTGATACCCCAGCTCTTCCAGGCCCACACAGGGGCTGCTCAGGCTGCTCTGCCTACTTGGGAGACAGCAGGGACAATAGAAAGACGAGACCTCTTGAGATCCTGCTTTTTTTTTTTTTTCTAAGACAAGATCTCAATAGCCTAGGCTTGTCCTGACCCTCTTGCCTCCACTCCCCACAGGTCACCTGTCCTTGATGAGCTGGCAGATAGGAGACGCAGTGCAGTTCTTGGGCAAGAGCCCTGCTGTCGTGATGGCTGGGCGCTTGGTGGTGAAGTCATTGTGAGGACATTGTGGCTTGGAGGGGTCAATCACCAACCACTGGTCAGCTGCAACTTCACAGTCGGAGATGATCTCCCCGCTGGGGAGGATACAGTCATCTGCAGTATTGTTGGTGCAGGTGCCTATAGACAGAGAAAGCACCCATCAAGCCAGCACCAAGACCACACTATCAGACTCAGGTCAAGCCCTGGGGGCTCTCCTTCTCCGGTCCAGGTTCCCTGTGTCCCACTGGTCAGGCAAGAGGGAAAAATCAAAGCCAAGCCAACATCTGCTGACTTCTCACAGGGACCAAACACAAGACATTGCCACAGGGCCCGTCCACAGAGGAGCAGAGAACCCACAGCTAGGCGACAGGTGCCCACACACCCAGTCTTGCCCTCCAAGGAAAACGGCTGGGCGACTCACCACACTGGCCCTTTGTGTTGTTGCCAAACATGCGGTAGGGCAGCAGGATGGAGAAAGACAGACCGTTGTAGGAGATCTGGGCACCCAGCTCGGGGATGTCCACCATAAAGTTGATGCCAGATTCGTATACCTGCAGCCCATACTTCTTGTAGGGCAGAGCCACTACCTGCTTGTTCACCTGCACCTGTGGTCAACATGTCCAAGTCAGGGAGGGCCTCAGAGACAGGAGCAAGAGCCTGCCACCGGCCAGAGGCCTGCCCTGCTCTGTCCTGTCCCACCATTGTCCTCTGGAAGCCATATAGCTGATCAAAGAGGCCAAGTTGCACCTTGGGATAGCACCTGGGATATCTCTACCCCTATCTAAAAGGGGATCTTTTCCTGTCCCTCACCTCTTTCTCTTCCCTTCTTGCTTCCTTCCCACCACACTGGGGCAGACCTTTGTCCCAGCTCATCCCAGGAGAAGCCAAAGAAGGCTCTTCCCAGAGACTCTGAGGCACCATGATGCCTCAGGGCTCCTCAGATGTTTCAGTCACCATCCCCAATAACCCCAGAGGATAGAGAAGACTCGGCTAGACACAGTCACTTCCTGTTCACATATCCTCAGAGAGGGAGTGTCTGTGCTCACTTAGAGAGCCCATGAGAAGGGCTGACATGACACCAAGGAGGCCCTACATGTGCCATGGCTCCAGGCTGGTCCAATGGACCTGCAGCTTGGTCCTCTGTTGCCTGGGGCCTACAGTATAAGGCCATGAGAGACACACTGTGGATGCCCAGCCAGCCCCAGCCACATACCTGCACCTCAATGGGCATCATGTGCACAGTCTTGATTTGCACTTCCTGGGTCTCATGGCGCACAATTAGTGTGCGGGGGCAGGACACTTGGTCATTGACATCGCAATGGTAGTTGTCAATATAGACCCCAAAGTTGTCCACATTGGAGATAATCTCCTCCACCAGCACGTAGGTACAGTTACCCTGGTAACTGTAGTAGAGCCCATCGAAGGTGACAAAGTGCGGGTCTCCCCAGCCGGTACAGTAGCCTGTGGAAGAAGCTCTGTAAGTTGATGTCACCAAGCCAGAACCACTGGAATCAAATCATGGTCAAGATTCAAGGGATAGGCTGAAAAGCCAGCAGTAACTAAAGGAATCTGAAAAACCTGGTCCCTAGGCTGAGCCACTAAAATCTTTTAAAAACATCTTCCCAGTTGGTCCAGAGACACCCCCTCTTCTGCAGGGTGAGACCTTACTTTAGAGCCAGAAGGTCATTCCTAACCTCAGAAGCATCCTTGCTCAGAAAGGTGCCTCTGCCCCACCAGTCAAGGCTTCTACCTACCCAAGCTCCTACCGGGGGAGACATAAAGGGTATTGAGAAGTCCCTAAGACTGTATGCACAGCCTACAGCAGGCACTTAGCAATCAAGGTCTGTCCCCAGAGGCTGGCCCTGCAGCCACTGGGACCAAAGAAGAAAGGGCCCTGGCAGGTGTATCCCCAGATAACTAAGGGCCTTACAGTCACACTCCCAGTGCCAGCAGCAGCCATCAGGATCAGTGACGCGCACGGGCTTGAGGCCGTTGGAACAGGTGGGCATGGGTGGGGGGTTGCACTCCTTTTCCACAATCTCTACTACGTTGTCATACTTGCAAATGGCCATGGTACAGTTACACAGCCACCAGGTCTCATTCACCTGCAGGATGGAGGGTGTGGAACAGTTAGCAGGCAGCCTAGCTTAGCTCCTCCAGTCTACACAGGAGGATAGAACCCACTCAGGGATGGAGCTGAGGGAAGCTAGGATAAGAACAAGAAAGGCTGGATATGGTGAAAAGAGAGAGGGCCAGCAGACCCTGTGCCCATGATGTTTGGGAAAGCATCAGTTCTACTGGAGAAGGTACAGGGTGTGGGGATACGGGCATCTTGAACAATGAGGAAGCGTGTCAATCAGATGGTGGGTGCCTGGATGTGGACCTGTTCAGTGCCAGGGTAACAAGCCACATACTGTCCACTGACCTGTCTAGGAGGATCAAAGTCTTGGCACTCAAAGATGGGGGTTGTGGTTGGAGTGCTAGTTGTTGACTTGGATGTTGTGGATTTTGGCGTGGAGGGTGTCGATTTCGAAGACGTGGTAGATGGTGTGGAAGGTGTGGTCGTTAGAGGCGTTGAGGGTGTAGAAGTTGAGGGAGTAGATGGACAGGACCAATTGAAGAACTGGACTGTGCAATCCAAAGAGCAATTCACATAATAACACGTGTCCCCAAGGGTATTGTTGTAGACCAGTTCACCTAAGAAGAGAAGGAAAGAGAAGAATGTAGTCTTTACACCTTCCAAAGCCATAGCTGGACACTAGAACACACTGATAGACTCCTTGGAGGCCATGGGGAGGGCCTTACTGTACTGGGGGAGGGTCCCTAGGGGAGATGACCAGGCTTAAATGAGGTATGAAGGTGAGCCCCCTAGCATGGCATTAGTGGCATTACAAGAAGAGGAAGAGAGACCAGAGCTGGCACATTTGTGCCACCTCAACACCTGATACCTGCATCATGTTTTGATGCAGAATTAGGAACTCATCAGGTGCCAGTGCCATGTTCCTGTACTTCCTAACTCCAAAACTGTCAGCTGAATGACTGTCTATTATTTATAAATCACCTGGCCTCAAGTATTTTGTTATAACAGAAAACAGACTAAGACCACCCCTATTTGTTCTCCTGAACTTGGAAGAGCCTTGACTTCTGGTTCATGTTCCCAGCAAGGTAAAGCTGACCACAAAAGCATCTGCCCATGACCAGCATCCAGCTTCCTGAGGAAGCTCCATGTTGAGATCTGACCCTGGTTCTACTCATTGGAAAGAACAGGACCAGCTTGAGCTTTGTGAACATTAGAAATGAACACCATGGATACCTGGGCCATAGAATGTTCCATCCAAAACACAGCAGGTAACCAAGGTGGCAGTGCTGGTCCAGGCAGTGCTGGGAGAGGTGATTGGGGAGACTGAGACTGTCCCCAAAGAGGAGGTCCTGGTGGTCTCCAAAGTAGTTGGTGTGGTTGATGAGAGCCTTGTCTGGGTGACGGTTTCCGTGGTAGACACTGGCACAGTGGGGGATGTAGGGGTGGATGTGGAGGGTGGTCTGGTGGTGGTTGAAGTTGGCACTGTTGTGGTCTTTGAGGAGGTAGACACACCTGTAAGAACAGTTACATTGTGGACCGATGGCACCGTTCATCTCACATGCTGCAGAGCTCAACCTGCAAGCCCCACCACAGAGAGAGAACAGCTGACTCAAGAAGCCATGGGGAGGTGTCAAAGCCTTATATCCACTCACCAGGACTCGACTTCACCATGCACACTGTGTGACTGTCACGCTACACACTGGACATCTGACAGTGCCAGACTAGCTACCCTCCAAGGCCTCTTGTGCCATGCCCAGACCCAGAGTGGTCCTCTGCCTTACACCAGCCCTGGCCTGATGCAGCCTAGACTTCCCTGGGAGAGCTTTCCCCATAGGGTCCCATCAGTGTTGGGCGACAAAGTTTATGCTGAAGTAGCTCTTTCTGAGGAAAGCCTATCTACAGAAAGACAGTGATCTTTGTTTCCAGCCAATTCATCACTCCCAGGGATCTGACTCAGGGGACGGAGAAGGCCCACTTAGCCTGCCTCAAACCTTCCAGAAGACTGGCCTCCTTGGGCAAGAACAGGGTCATGAAGCACGAAATGCTGACCCAAGGCTCGGATCTTGAGGCCACAAAGCTTCCCTGACAAAAGGAAGCTATTCTAAGAGAGGAGGAAAATGGGTGACTTTACATGTGTGCTTACCAGGAGTTGTGGTAGGTCCTGGTGTTGATCCTGGAGGTGAAGAGGGTGTGCTGCCCACAGATGGAGTGATGAAGGGTGATGTTGTTCCAGGTGACGATGCTGTGCTAGATGTTGCTATGGTAGTTACAGGGGTGCTTTGAACGGTGACGATCTCCTCCGAGGGTGGGGGAGAAGTGGACACAGTGGTCACAGGTGTTGATGGCTTGGTTGGAGGTTTGGAAGAAGTTGGTCCTGTAGTAGGTACTGTGTTTGTAGAAGTAAAGATCTCTTTGGTTGTGGTGGGTTTGGGGGTTGGGGTTTGGCTAGTGGAAGATGTTGGGGTTGTGCTTTCAGTAGAGGTAGAGGGTGGAGTTGGGGTTTCTGAAGGGGTGGGAGATGGGGTTGGAGTCTCTGTGATTATGACAGTGGCTGTTGGGGTTGTGTAATGTGTGGTGGTGGTGGTGGTGGTGGTGGTGGTGGTGGTGGTGGTGGTGGTCAGAGTAGAGGATGAGGATAGGATTGGTGTGGTAGTAGAGGCTGGAGTTGGTGTCCCTGGGATGGTAGAGGTTGGAGTTGGAGTCACTGTGGTAGAGGGGGTTGGGCTTGGTGTCTGTGTGGTGGTAGATGCTGGAGTGGAGGTGCTTGTGTGGGGTGTTGGTGTTGTGGTCTGGGTGGTGGTAGATATTGAGGTTGAGGTCTCTGTGGTGGTAGCTGTTGGTGTTGGAGTCACTGTGGTAGTGGGGGTTGTGATTGGTGTCTGTGTGGTGGTAGATGTTGGAGTTGAGGTGGTTGTGTAGGGTGTTGGTGTTGTGGTCTGTGTGGTGGTAGATGTTGCAGGTGAGGTCTCTGTGGTGGTAGAAGTTGGTGTAGGAGTCACTGTGGTAGTGGGGGTTGTGATTGGTGTCCCTGTGGTGGTAGATGTTGGAGTTGAGGTGCTTGTGTGGGGTGTTGGTGTTGTGGTCTGTGTGGTGGTAGATGTTTCAGGTGAGGTCTCTGTGGTGGTAGCAGTTGGTGTAGGAGTCAC